ATAAATTACTTTAATCTATATATTTAAAAAAAATTTAATAAAGATTTAATATGTTTTTAAAAAAGTTTTATTAGTAATATATTTTATTTTCTATATAAATTTAAATTTACTGCGCAGATCATATGACAAATGATCTACATGTACTCTACCCTTAAATAAAGGTCCGATTTCTCAAATCAGCCGAATTGTTTGATTATAAGCTTCTTTATACGTATTATTGAGTGTTCAGTGAGTGAGACCATGAAAGATCGACAATATGATTTGGGGTTGTGACTGAAATTATGGTTGTTTTATACTAAAATTTTACGGAGAATTTTTTTTGTTAGTGCGCAGTAGGTGGGTTTATAGTGAGTCAATTGTTAGAAAAGATCTGATTAGTGCATCTGCGACGATCTTTCATGGTCCTGGGGTAGCTTGTTTTATTATAGTTAATTGACTCGACTATATCATGATCGATTATTGATCGAAAAAGTAGGTCAATTATTGATCAATAATGTTTAGTTGAATTTGATCGATCAAGAAAATTTTATAGAATATATTATTATTTTTAGATTTTTTTATTTGTTTTAGTAGATAAGATATAATCGATCAATTATTGACCTGATAATTGATCGATTATATATACTCAAGCTTATAAATTATATGCTTGATCGACCATATTCGATCAAGTTTATATAATTAATTTTTGATCGATCAAGCAAAATAATTTTTTTGGTCAATCAATTCACTAGTTTTTATCGTTTTACGTTACATTTGATCTTGAAATTTGTAGATCCAATCAGATGAATATCCTCCTATAAGTGTCAATCACCAATAAAAATTGAATATCACAGATGATCAAAAATAAATATAGAGCGCGCAACGTGATTGTTTTGTTTTTCGTTCTCTACTTAGTTCGCTTCTTATTCCTCGTTTGATGTTCGGTTTTTTATCTTCAAAACCCACCTCCTCATAACCCTCCACCGTCCTGATTGGGGTTCACTGGTTTTGCATTAGGAGCCGGTTATGTTTTTCCCAAGCTTAAAAACAGTGAAAAACTGCGAAGTGTAAGTAAACTAAAGCAAAAAAGCTTCGAAGATTTATTTTAAAAACCATATTTCGAGAAAGAACAACCAACTTCTGTACGGGAGATATAGAAAAGATTGGTTGGGATAGAACTATGAAGTGTTTTTGGTGCATCTTGTTTTTTTGTAAGGTTGTATAATTTTTTGCCTTTAGCGCCGAAAACCACGACATATTTTACTTTTCCAACCAATAAAATACACCTATACGTGGTAGTTATAACGAGTAGAAGATATAATCTTTGAAACCAAGTATCTCAAAAACCTATTTATTAACGTTTATTTTATTTAGCACATTTAGTATATAGAAATTTATTATGTTTAAATAATTAACGTTAATATATAAAAGAGAATGACTATTTTCACCCCCATTTTTGCTAATGCCACCTTCCAGATATCAAAAAGTGCTCCGGAATAGATATTCTTATTAAGTAAACTCTTCTTTTGGTCTTAATAAAAGTTGTTCATCAGGCCTTTCCGGTTCTAATGGTAGTAAAATAGTTACACTCGGACTAGTAGTTTCTAAGATATTTATATCCGAAATTAGCTAACTTTTATTCACTTTTTTTAAAAAAAAAACTACAGTCCGATTTTAATAATTTTACTATCATTAGAACCGGAATGGTCTGATGGACAACTTTTATTAAGACCAAAAGGTGGGTTTTCTTAATAGCAATACCTCTTCCGGTACACTTTTTTTAAATTTTGGAGGTGGCATTAGCAAAAATGGGGGTGGAAATAGCAATACTCTATATAAAAATATATAGTTTTTTAAGTAATTTCATCCTTTTTGATTCACAGAGACTATTCTTTTTGATTCATAAAAAGAGACCAACATTTTTATTAGAGTTAGAAGGGTTAAATCATATGGGATATTATCAAAAAAGCGGGCCTTTTTTATGAATCAAAATGAGCGGACCCTGTGAATCAAAAAGGATGGGTTTGCGTTTTTTAATTGTACAATAAATTAATAAAATTATTTAATAAATTTAAGTGTAACTTTATTTAAATATAAAAAATTTTAATAATGTTAATCGCGAAAATAATAGTAATTTTGTCAATCTATAAACTTGATATATATATATATAAAGTCTTAGCGATTTGAGCAAATTAAATTTCTGGCGCCATAACTATGTATATGTTTAATAAAACAAGTTTGCGGCTTTAAAATTAACATTTAATGTCTCAAAAAAATCAGCACCAACTGGTCTATGGCATATCTTATAATTCTAAGTGAATTAAAATATTATCGTGATATGTTAACATGATAAAATCAATTTTCAATTATGGCCTTACAAAACTCGCGTAATAAAGATTGCATTTTACAAGAAGCAGACAATTATGTAAGCCACTGGCGTTAAATCTATTACTGTATTCTTATATTTAAATGACACCTTAATATATAATTATTTAACCATATAAAATTTAAGTGTATTCATGAAATCTACAATATTTTCGAAAATAAAAATGTTTAGTGTACTCGAATCTTATACCAAACGTACTGATAATATCGATCGATATCAATCACTCATACATCTCTGTTGAGTTCTAATCCAAACCGCTCATATGTTTCTTTTGTTGTTGCTGTACCATCGAGTTCAGTACACTTAATGTATTATTCAAATGAAAAAAAACATACACATATTGTGTGTGTGAAAAATGGATTTCATCTTTCCGAATAGCACTTGAACAATAATATCTTTGATCAAAGATCGAGATTAGTTTAAGTTAGATCACAACATTAAACCTGAACTAATAAATGAACTTACTGTAATCGACTTCCTAAACTTTCCGTTTCTGCTCGCAATTTGTTGAGTGGCTCTTGAAGTGATTGTAAATGACATACGAGAATTTCCTATACATAATGCTTGTCTCTTATATATATATACACATACAGGTGTATGAAATTGAAATTGTAAACGCACTTTCTTAGAATTCGCGTCTCCAATTATTTCGCTATTAATGAATGATATAAGGTTAAAATGGTACTTGAAAAATGCAAATAATTTTGATGAAATAATTGTCTTTTCTTTGTGGTAAATTATTATTTGCCATATTGACCAGCCGCTAAGTGTAAAAAACTTTCAACTTTTTTAAACGTCGTGACTTAGATCAAATTCACGTGCACTAAGTTGAATCACTGACTAGACTAGACCCGGAACAGGACCCCTAGAAATTTCTGTCATTATATGCATTTGATATAATAAAAAATAAAAATACTTTCTGTGTTCATTTAACGGAAAGTGAGGAAAATGAGGAAGTGAAGGCATATTCATATCAATTTATTAAATTATTTTTTTTTGTATAGATATTTTCGAGCCTGTAAAAAAAAAGGAGTGGATTTAGTCATGTCATAAAAAATGACAACCAAGTATCACCCCAAAGATCAGTTACGTAAATAAATACTTAAATTAGTTTTCTATCTCATATGATACGCATGTAATATGTTAAGTTAATACAGGGTGATACTAGGACGGTTATAAAAAATTGGCAGTGACGTATGATATACAAGCCACTCAGACTATGTTTCTGTATTCGTTTTCATACGTATTAGACGTTATAGAGTGCTAAACACCCTAATATTCTGAAGATCAAGAAAATCATCTCTGGTCAAAACTTTCATATATGGAAATTTTATTACTTTTTTATATCAAGTGGTTCACTTACAGGCTGGCTTTTGCTTAAATTTCTCGTTATTATATCGAAGGTTTCTTTGTACTGTATTGAGACTTGTAATATAAAAATTTGTGTAACGGTGTTTTTCAATCGAAGTAATGTAGCCAATAAAAAACAGCTGTCATGCCAATGCGAGTGACGTTATCTTCAACTATACTTGTTCGCGAGTAATCTGTAAATTTCACGTTTTAATTTTAATACGCAGTTTAATATGTTGGATTTCACAGAGTGGAAGCCTAATAAGTTTCAAGCATTGCGAGAGCAAATTGAAAGTGTCTCGTGCTCCGCGTCAGAATCTGGTTTAAAAGATTTAGATAAAAGTTTACAAGAAAACAAGGCATGGTTCGTCAATTTACTCGATATCCCACCTCAAGATCTTACTCATAAACAACGATTAGAACAACAATGTAAGTTAGACTAGACTTGAACGGCGTAATTTATAGTAATCTAGAATTTCTGTCTGAGGCTTCATAATTTTTTTTTTTTTTTTTTTTTTTACTCCTGAAACATTGATCTCGTATCAGACTCTGCGATCATAGATCAAAAAGATCACAAGCTCTCGCGATCTTTTGTTATTGAGGCACTTTCAATATCGGATTTTTTAAAGACAGATGAATTTTTTGCAGCAACTCTTCTCCACCATGGGACAAAACAACGTGCCAAATTTAATCGGCCATCGGCCGAAACTGCAATTTTACTATTTCTTAAAGAACGCGGTGATCTGTTGGCATGTTTATCAACACTCATAGGAAGTGCTTATAATCCTGATACAAAGTTACATGTGAGAAAGTCATTCGCTGACTATATCAATAGTTTGTTTAATGCTGTATCGTCTAAAGATGGTTCATTTGCACGCAAAATAATGACAACAATTCAGAAGTTAAAAACAGAGATAACAGAGCTTGATGGCCGTTCAAAACAATTGAATAGACAGCCTCAAACTCTGATTAGCGCAGAACAAAATCTACTTCTTCAACAAGATTACACGTTGGTCAATATTAATATTGACATGATCTTAGTCAGAATCAAGCAATCAAAGGTACATCAAAGATATCTTGCACATAATCTATGGTTGATTTCTTATAATTACCTTTTGGACGCAGTGGATATAATAGAGTTGACAACAATTTTGCGAAATACTGAAATAGATGATGTTGTTTGCCCGTATTTTATTATTTCGTTACTTTCTGCTCTTGATACGTCACCAGAACATATATCAGCTGATATACCTGCGAGACACATGCATGATCAATTAATTCGTAACAAAGACTTTATCAATAAATTTACAAACATTCTCGAAAAAGAACGGTGGAAAATTGAAGCTGCCAGAGCAACTACTATGATTCAATGGTGTCCATTTATTTTAGATGCGATATATAAATCACCTACGTTAGAGGCGCAATTGACTATCAAACAAGAACATTTAGGGGAAATGTTTCAACGTGCAGTTGCCAAAGACGCTTTCCAATTTATACTTCATTATCTGTTGTCTTTTCAAAATACAGAGATGGAATCTATGTGTGTCGAAATAATGCCAAGCGCAACAACATTATGTGAATCACTTAGTCCAGAGGACGTTGAATTTCCACCTCCAGGTATGGTGCCAGAAACTTTCATTATCATATCGGAAGACTTTGAATTATATATTCGGAAACAACTTGAGCTGTTTGTTATATCAATTGTGACCAAGATGGGAAATAATCTACAAAGGATCAGAAGACAGGAGGAAGATGCTATTCAATCAGCAGATGCGGAACAGTTAACTCGTTCGGCTATAAAAAAATCTGCTGTAGTACGCCATGACACCGAGACTTTTTTCTTCCTGATTGCAAATATATATCGCAATCATCCTGATGAAGGCTTCAGATTTTGGATGGATATGAAAGAACAAATTATTGATTGGGGTTCCAGTGTTTCTGAAAAAGGAATGAGACGTGGCTATTTGGAGATGCTTTGCTCCTTGGCAACTGGTCCTTATTGTAGTGGTTATGCCGACGAATTTCTTTCACGTAGTTCCGAGCAAAGTAAAGGTTGGTGTTCATGGCGTACTTTAATTAGTACCATCGATATTTATACACGCGACGAGAATGATGAAAGACAAATAGTAAAAGATGAAGTTATGCTTTTAATTTCATTCATTCGTGTTTTTCGCCAAGTTATTCGATATTCAATACAAGCCAGATTAAGATTTCTCCAAGATAATGTTTTGAGACTACTTTTTCGCTTAATGTGTCGAAATGTTCACACTGAATTAAAAGCAGAGCTTCTTTATGCAGTTTCATCTTTCTGCGTATCAGATTACGCTGATCATAATTATATCACAAGACAAGTTTGGGATCTCTTGGAAGATGCGCAAATTGTGCCTACTGTACCAAAAGATATTGTATTCGACCCGGCTAGCGTTTGGGAAGTCGCGAATATGCAAGCACAAGATCCACCGAGCATAAAAAAGGAGATTGAGGAAACAGAATCTCGCGAGAAATTATTTTTCGTAACTTTAGCCTTTGTGCGGTTCATTGGAGTATTGATCCACGTTCCTCATTTTAATGCCGCATTACGTTGTGGATTTCCTGTTCGTTCTATGTCTATTAATGATCTTCTTGGTTCAGGTTATCGGCAACCTGGTATTTCACCATACATCAATTTTATTTTAGATGATATTTTTATTAAAGCACTTGCACGTGATTATAAGTTTCCTACACAACAATGGAATATAATAGCTTCTTCCTTGGAGGTTATTGAAAAATGTTTGATTTCTTTTGACTTGACTGGACCATTATTTTATGAAGATCAATCCAAACATTCACCAGAATCATTGCCATTTATTCAGAGAGGTATTAGCAAAGATGAAATCGTTACTTTAAACAACAATGCGATTAAATATTTAAAGAATCATCCGGGATTTGACATAATGAAAAGATTACTAAATAATTCTCCTCTTGTGGAAGTGATGTTTAATATCCTTAATCAGGATATAGAAGCACTTGATGAAGTCGATGAAGTTAACAGGAAATCATCCGTACCGTTCATTAAGGAGTCTATTTTACGTTGTTTGAGAATATTTTGGATAGCATTTGAAAAACAAGAACGATTTTTAAATAAGTTAATTCCATTAGTAAGTCAAACTTCTCCAGGATATCTAGAAAATCTAGAAAATGCATTCCGTTCCAAACAAGAAATTATTGTACAAATTGCATTATTATTAAATTGCGAAAACGCTGAGATATGTTTATATGCTGTCAAAATTTTGTCTGCCCTTGCTAAGTCTGCATTATTTAATCCAATAGGTGTAGAAAATAGATTGGCAGCTATCTTAGATTCTGATCAGAATTCAGAGGCAATTCTTGATGTTTTTGTCATGAGATTAGATATAAATGGTGGTGATGATGTTTGGGATAAAAAATACCGGCTTGAAGATTTTGAGTTAACACAACTCGGACTTCAGGCTTGGGCCATACCTGGAGATGAAGAATTTAGTGCATTGCCATTAATCGATGAATCAGAAATAACATTTGGTACAGTGAGATGCGCCATTTTAAATTTAATATTGGAGAACTTAAAACCTGATAAAACACCACCTACAATATCACATTTCCTATTGGGCTACAATCTTCGTGGATCATTACAATCACCAATAATCAAATATATAAATCAAGATTGCCTTAGAGAATCTTGTTTACATAAAATATTGGAAATCCTTGGCCAACCGATTCATGATGATACTGAACCTGATAAGCAGTGTTCTGTATTGTCAGAGTTTCCCGCGTTGGCAGCTTGCTGTTATCAGATTATTTACAGACTTTGTAGGGATAACAATACTTCTGAACCAACAATGTTGTTTCTACGTAGTCAAGGGTTTGTGCAAAAGCAATTTGGGGCGATGCCTCTATATATTATCCAACCAAGTCAATCCATTTCTTGGGATTCTGGTGCAATCACAAATTATAACGGTCAGTCAATTCCTATTGATTTAATTAATCTTTGTGCAAACCTTAGTGAGAGGACATGGTTGATGAAAATATTGGCTTTGGAACTACGTAAATGCCAAACACTTTCTGGTATTGAACAATTGTTAGCTTTGATACTTGGGGCCAGTATAATAAAACCGCAAGGTGAAGGCACAGCAGATGAGGAAATTTTGGCACCTTCTGCGATCAAAACTCGTGAAATTTTGCATATGCTGGAATTGGATTGGAACGATCCATGGAAAATAGACGCACCGGAGAATTTCTTTAATATAGTCAACCATAAAGCTTGCTTAATTCTTAATGAACGAGGGAATAAAAGATATAGACTACAAGATATTTTTTCTGAATTAAATCAGGCATTTGATCAGTCACGCATTGCTCAGGATGGTAGCTTACGTAAAAAGCTGATGCATATATTAAGATATTGTTACTATCTCAATCGTAACGAAGAATTTAACCTTTCCAGGTATGAAGGGTTTAAGGCCTGGAGAGAAGTAATTGAAGTAACTATTGTAGACCATTATACTCGCTTACGACTTCATGTACGTGAGACTACTTTTCTCGAGATCATTTCCACATTATTAACTACATTGCAGCGCGAGGGAAACGCAATTGCTATTGTTCTCAGTAAAGTAATTCTTGCAGCAATCACGGCAATACGGTCAGATCATATGCGCCTACATACTCTACGATCTCATTTTAGGGTAGCATCACGGAATCTCTCACCTATATTTAGTCAAATTCTCGAATGCCTTTTCGTGCCAGGAATCCCGCCTGAAGTACGCAATAATTTGTATGCCACAATATATAATTATTTGAATTATATCGATGTTCAATCAGCTATTGGTGCTGGAAAACTCCTTAAAGGTGTTGGTGATAGATTACTCGATATTATTTATGAAGACGCGTCAAATGGACATGTAGTTGGAAAGCTGTGTGCTTTAAATGCCCTGACTGCTATTTACAGATTATTCAAACAAGAAAAAGGAAACTTCATTATTAAATCTATCCAGTCTAATTTTATTGGAAGCCTCATTACGAGTTTAACAAATCAAAACGATTTACTATTGCAGGCAAAAGAACAACAACCAGGTAAGTTATTCAGTCACAGTATTCTTAGTCAATAGGTCAATATGGGTGTGAATTTTATTCTCATGAAAAAAATTGTAATTAGACTTAAATGCAATGCATGCAATATACGTATTTGAAGCCAGAATGGGGCTTTTACTGTGTCTTGCTCAACGTCACGACCTTTCCTCAGAATTACTGAAGAAAGGTGTTATTGAATATTTGGGTGAATTGACTTTCTTAAATGAACGACCAAGTTTTAATAGTCATAATACAGGTAATATCAAAACTGAAGCCAACTTGAGATCAGATGGACCATTATGTATTTACTTGATCTATTTTATATCTGTTCGCTGTAGATTCCTATGGAAAACCAGCATATAAACTATATCATGATCTTTTAATGATGGTGATTCGTCTTATCACTTGCATTCTTGCAACTGTTGGGTGTGATGAAAAAGCGTTGAATAAGGTAAAATGGGTTACTTAACCATGAATGTCTTGTGTAATGTCTGTTAAGATGTACTTATTTTGCTTTAGGTTTCCAATTTTATCAGCGGGCATCAAGGATTGATAGCCGAAATTTTTACTGATATTCCACCTTTTGATTATTTAAACATTCAAAACTCGGAGAGGCGTGCAATATTTGTTATGGCCGTTGAAGTATTACAAGAAATAACGCGTTTATTCTATATTTTGGGTGACAAAATAAAAGATATCGATAAAGTCGTAAGTATATTTAGGTGTCTAACTTCTCCACATCGAACTTTTATAAATATGTTTACTCTTAAATATTAAAAGCGCAGAGAATCCCATCAAAGTACTTATCAAGAATTTCTGAAAGAATTGATTTCAAGATTCTTTCCTGCCAGGAAACGGATCTCCAGTATGATTGACGATGAAAACTTGAGAATTCAGTGTAAGATTTTTAGCTCTTTTTATTTGTGTTTGACATAAACAATAAGTATAATACAAAAAAAATCTTCTATCTCTATTTAGATATACAGCAACGCATTGAGAATATTAATGAAAACCTTTTAGGGTGGTGTCAAAAAATGACTGTCCCTTACAAAAAAGATCAAAGTAAAATTCAATTGCTTTATGCCTAATGATTCTTATATGATTGTGTAAAGGATTTATGCTGTCTAACATTATAATAGAGTTTGAGCCAATATTTACTGAATTTCTCGATGCTGCTAAAAGACCAGACGATGATTACCATGGTGATATAAGTATGCTATACTCCGATTAACATTTCGTAATTTATTAAATGAATAAGTCCTTTATATTATTAATAACTTACATTTTTACAATAGAACATCCAGAACTTTCTATTCTCGTTAACTACCTTCGGGATTCGATTGAGAATCTCGATAAGCATTTACAGAATCTTGATAGATTAACATCTCAACTTGAAAAGGGTGAAGATGCTGCATTAGGTTTTAAAACAGAGGTTTGTACAATATGTATATTATTCGGTTTAATGACCTGATTATAAGTAATTATTCAATTTTTTACAAAAATTAGGGTATTTCTTCGATTTCTAGTGATTTTGTTGGATTGAATGATTCTCAACGCAAGGCATTAGCTTACCGAACTGTTCAGGAAGAACATAACACGGCAACAAAACGTGTATCACAATGTCTATGTAAGACGTTTTCTACAATGAATTTGATATCGAAAAATTCAATATTTATGTTTAAGATCTATTACTCAAATTTATCTTTATATCCGTTTTCTTATAGATGACCTTGAAGTCTCTTTACCATTATTGTGGCGCCATCTTAATTATTATATGAGTCCTAAAATGCCACAAATATCACAGGAAAACTTGCGAAAAAACGCATCAGTCGTTCTAAAAGATATCTTAATTAAATTGGAATATTTAGAAAAACAACCGGTATTAATTTCAATTCTTGTTCTGTCGATCTTTATGTTGCTATTGACTATATTAAATATTTATAATTTTTGTAGAAAATAAGGGAACTTCTCGAACGATTTGGAGCACGGGATAATTATTTTCAAGAATCGGTGCGCAAGCTGAATAGTATTTAGAACCGGGTTATAGTAAACCGGATCACCAAAACTGTTCAAGTGGGTCAAAAATTTACAACTCAGGTCAAAAAACGGTTGAATATGTAACATTTAAAAATCTGTTACTATTACACATAAAACAAAATTTAACACATTAGTATATAGTGAATAAACACCATTTTTTTTCTTACGAATTTATCTAAATGTTCAATCCCGCTAATCTGGATTTAAAAAAGAAGTTACAAACTTTTGGAGGCTACTATACGGACTATCTATTGTTGCGAAAATTTTGTTAAAAATGTTTCTTTGTACTGTATAAACCATTATTATTTGCTTTGCTTTGCTAATATGTAATACATGTTCGATAGTACCCTGGGTACCCTGGGAATTGGTAGTGCTGGGGGTCGGGTCATGTAACGTGATCGCATTGCATGAATGGAGGTTGATGCATAAAATTAAAGCGTAAGGACAAAATCAAAGTAAACATCTTATTAGCTTTAAACTATTATAAAAAATAACTTTAAGCACCATAAAAAATTGTAATAGAGAATAATCTTTAACGTTAGTATTGATAATAATGGGATTTATAATAGTGAAAAGATTAGTCATATTAACAATTACACGTAATGTGTTGGATGAAAATCTCGAATGGGTTGGCGACACTAGTATACTAAGAAATTTGGATTAGAATTGGTTTCATGAATAACATGGTTCCAATTTTACGACATTCATTAAAATCTTCGATATAATTATGAAAAAATAGATTTTATAATTTATATTTTGAATGAAAAGTTTCATTAGGAAATAATGGAATAAATTGAGTTGACCAAATACTAGATGGTTGAAAGTCATTGTTGCTGTAATTCTATGAATTAATTTACAAAAAATAAATTAATATCGATATTGATATATATTAAATCTATGACGGATAATCATTTGTCATAATCTACCTCGTTTATTAGAACCATCTTTAGAATAAAAATCTGCGATTACTAAGACACTTTTTATTAAAGCGAACATTGTTATTGTATAAGTTATTATAAAAATTAATAAAAGTTGATTCATCTCTACAACGAAAAGTGGGTTATTGTCATTAGACAACTAAGATGGCATCTTTTATTCTTGAAGAAAAAAAAATAACAAATAGGCGTAAGATTTTTTTTTTTTTTTGTTAGTCAGAACTTAAATTCTAATTCTTCCATGCACACAAATATTACGAGCATTCCATACAAAATTCTTCTAGTTTATTGTGCAGCCAATGTTTTATCAAATGCTTAATAAGAGAATCTTGTATACTTTCTTGTTTGAAAAACTTGTTTATAAAATATTTGTATATATTGATTATAACAGATGGGGCCGATTTATGGAATTGCCAATAACTTTTGATCAACTGATCCGTTTTTAATGATTTTACTACCAAAATGTTGGTCTCAATAAGACGTTTCTAACGAGCCCAAAATCATTAAAATCTGATCACAGGATCCTGAGATCGTCAAGATTTTATTAGTAAATTTTAAATCACTATGTAAATATCTTTGATACCAAATAACTTTTGATCTATTGATCCGTTTTGAATGATTTTACTGTCAAAATGTTCGTCTTGATGAGACGAACATTTTGACAGTAAAATCATTCAAAACGGATCAATAGATCAAAAGTTATTTGGTATCAAAGATATTTACATAGTGATTTAAAATTTACTAATAAAATCTTGACGATCTCAGGATCCTGTGATCAGATTTTAATGATTTTGGGCTCGTTAGAAACGTCTTATTGAGACCAACATTTTGGTAGTAAAATCATTAAAAACGGATCAGTAGATCAAAAGTTATTGGCAATTGCATAAATCGGCCCATATGAAGTCTTTTTCTATTAAACATTTGTTTATTTGTTACCATTGTTTGAATTAAGAGTAAGCTTTGATTAGAATTGAGGCTTAATAATGCATATTGAATAAATGGGTTTAGATTTTTAACAATAGATAGAAATCTGATTAAACAATACACAAGAGTTTGTCATTTTTAACAGAAAACATTGATAATTAAATTAGAAGCCACTGAAAATGTTTCAAAAATTACAATTATTTATAACATCAAATATTTTAAATATAAGAAATTTTTTCCATTATCATTAGTTTCATTTTTTAAAAAAATTTGATTGCTATTTGAAATGAAGCATACTATGCTATTTATATAAAATACATATATTTTTATTAGAAACAAGAGGCTATTGTTCTTAATGAGTTGTTTGATATTTAATATAATTTTAGATGCTCTATAGAATAGGTGGGCAAACTCCACAACTCCACTATTAAAAAATTAATGATTACTAATCATTAACGAAGCTTATTTCTTATATTGCCCACCTATTTTATAGAATATCCATAATTTTAGTTCTTAATCAAAACTAAATACAAAGATCATTTTGGGAAGTTTCTTATATATTGCTCATTAAATAGAGTTGTAAAATATTTTATAAGTTTATAATTAATTGAAATTAGAATATAGAAGGTTTAAAGATTTGAATAAAGAAAAAAACACAAGCAAAACATATTCATTTGGTCTTTTTGCTTAATCCTTTAATATAATACAGCCAAGATTAATATATAATATCTACACTATTGTAATATAAATTATGTAAATATATCTAAGAATTTTAAACCACTAAAAAATGAAGTATATATAGTATAATACAGAACTTTTTCAATAATTTTATTACAATACCTGTATTTATATTTCAGTACATGATTATAGAAAAAGTTAATTGTAAAAATAAATTTGAAAAATATGCCTCAATAATTTTTTAATTTAAAATCTTTTTAAAAAATTAATGGTTCTCTAAATAGTTAAATGTGAAATTAAAAAATAAAATAATAATTTTCGTACTATAATACAAAAACCTTAATTAAATAGACTTTTAGTATTACTATATTGGGATATATTCATATTTCAAATTTGTATCAACAAGAAAACTACTAAAATAGTATATTATCATATTTGAAAGTACTTTGTATTATAATATTTCTGTATTTTCATATTAATATCAACAAAAAGAACACTGCAATAGTATATTGCCATGTTCAAAAACGCAGAGTCTTAGAAACTAATTAACTAATTAGTATTAAAATAATAACAGGATAAATAATAATATGCTTCTTTGTATCAACGGATATACATTCTAGGTTAGATTTTAGTATATGCATTAAGAATGAAATATGTGTATTTTTTAATGTAGATGTCATCACATATTAAACCACGTTGTAGAATATTATTTTCTAAAAAAT